CACAACTACGCCACCCATCCGCCTCACGAAAATCGCCATGGTCTTATTGACCTTACCCCTACTTCGCGCTATCGCAGCCGAATCCCTGGCGTGTCTCCAATTAAAGCGAGGCACCATTTCGGACCAGACCACTACCACGCCAGGAACCAGCTTACGTAGCCGATCCAGATCCCTCTTCATCCTCCTCAACAGTTCCCGCTGCGGGATCAAGCCTAAATCGTTCCCCCCACCATGAACCAGAATTACGTTAGGGTCTGACCCCCATGCCAGCCTATTGAACAGTTCCTTACTGATGCTCTGCCAACCGAAACCCCAGAAACCCAACCAAGTGAGAACCACCGCCTCCACCGGGAAGCCCAGTTGTGCTCCGTCTCTTCTCATCGCGGCCCTCCTCCGCGCCCAATAAACGTAGGAATGTCCGATCAGCCATACCAAACGACCTAAAAGAAATAGAACAGTGAACAGCAGAGCCCTTAACAAACAACGCCCCAGTCCCCTTTTACACCAACTTGTCCGGTCTAACGTATGAGCGGAACCGAATGGACTCCCATCTTCCTATCTGTTTGATCCGCTCGTCTCCCAGACCTAACCGAGCCGCCTCCGTTGCGGCCCCAATTCTAAACGAATGTGTCCCGAAATGCATGGGTTCCAGGCCCAGCTTACCCAATCCTGCACGAAATATCCTAACGAACTGAAAACGGGACAAAGCCTTACCGTCAGCATGGATGAAGAAACAGCCTTCCTTCTCGGGGCGGACTTCCAAGAATTCGGCGCCACAAGCCACTGGGCAAACCCTAGACCCTGGCAATTTGAACAATGTTACCAAGCTTCCTTTGCCGAATATGTCCGTCTTTGAGCGGCACAACTTGACCTGTACCTTATCTTCACCAATGGTCACATCCCCCAACCGAATCCCACCAACCCCTGCTTTGTTGGTGCTAAGCAGCTCCCCAATACGGAATGCCCCGAAGAATGCCCAGACAAACGCCCCGGAAAACAACACAACTTCATATTTGGAATAACATAATGCCGGTAGAACCTCCACTAGTCCTTGCAGCACCGCGAATGACACTGGCCTCCTCGTATCCACCGATTTCTTACCCCTCCGAAAACCTCTTATGGCTTGCCTGACCAAGAAATGTTTCGTTATATCCTCCCATCCATTAAACTTAAATAGGAAGGCCAACGCCGACATGTGCCTGTCAACCATAGCTGGTGAAGCCTTCCTGGAAAATAGTCGACACAGTACCCATAACAGTATATCTAATCGATGTTCCTCTGAACAGTCCCCTCCCACTTGTGCCACCGACTCTTCCCATTCGTGCCAAACCTTCACATATGCCGCCCAGGTGCCCGGTGCCAGGGAATTCTTTATGAACTCCCCAAGCATGATGTCCCGAGCTGCCACATTTCTGCCGGACATGCCAATCCTTCCTCTTGTGCCTCCGGCGCTGCTTCCCGAAAACGTTCCCACTGTGAACGAGAAAGCGCGTCAGCCACTATATTCAAGAAACCTGGAACATGCCTTGCCCTGAACACTATATTGCTAGACATACATAAAAGTACCAAGTGCCTTAATAACCGTATCACTGCAGGAGATGATGCCGACAACCCATTGATAGCCTGGACCACTGCCATGTTATCTGAGTAAAATACTACTTTTTTGTTTGCGAGCTGCTTTCCCCATAACGCCACCGCTACTACCACCGGGAAAATTCTAGGAACGCGAGGTTCCTTATCAGCGAGCTCGTCTTCCACTCCGCCGGCCACTCCTCGGCGCACCATTGCCCCGCTAAATAAGCCCCAAACCCCACGCTCCCGGAGGCGTCTGTAAACAAGCCTATGTCCTTGGAGGAAACTCCCGGCTCCCGAAAAAACACTATACCGTTAAATTCCTTTAGAAACCTTTTCCAAACCCCCAGGTCCGCTCTCATATCCACCGAAACTTTCACGTAATGATTCGGCAACCGCACACCGCTCGTCGCCTGGGCCAGCCGTCGACAAAAAACTCTGCCCATTGGAATCACCCTGCATGCAAAATTAAGACTCCCCAATAGCGACTGCAGCCCTCACAAAGTCACTTTTCTCGCATGCCACGCTGTGTCCACTAGCTGACAAAGCTTAAGTAGCTTGTCCGCGGGCAGTCTGCATTCACCTTTTACAGAGTCAATCTCCAGGCCGAGGAAACTAAGGCATGAGGTGGGGCCAACCGTCTTATCCCCTGCCAAAGGAACCCCAAAAGAGTGTGCTATCCATTGAAACACCCTCAATATCTGGCCACACCACTCAGATCCTTCCGGCCCTACACACAAGAAATCATCGAGGTAATGCACGATTGATCCCCCAGCCGACTCCCGTCGTACCACCCATTCCAAAAAGGTGCTAAACTTTTCAAAATAGGAACACGAGATGGAACAGCCCATCGGTAAACACAGGTCTATGAAGAAACCCCCTTCGAAGAAGCACCCCAAAAGGTGGTGACAACCCGGATGAATGGGGAGCAGCCGAAATGCTGCTTCCACGTCCACCTTTGCCATCAGTGCACCGTGTCCCGCTCTCCGAACCAACTCGACCGCATGATCGAATGATGCATAGGATACGGAACACAGCGCCGCGTCGATATCATCATTTACCGATGACCCCGTGGGTGCGATAAGTGATGTATCAGGCGAAATTTTCTATCGGCGGGGACGGAAACGGCCCCGCCATCCTCCCCATCTGGACTTCCTTCATTAATTTTTCCCGCACTACCCCCGGGTGGTCCCGGACTGATTTAAGGTTTGCACACATGGTTCCCGGACCTTTGACCTTGAATGGGATAACAAAACCCTCTGTAAACCCCCGCCATAAGAACCTCGCCTCTTCCTGATTACCGTACTGCCTTAACCACGGCAGCATCGTGCCGACCTTCACCGGCGACGTTCCCAGTCACCACCGCCGTGGCTGTTGTCCCTGCTGCACCCCCGAAGTTAGATTTTCCTTTCTTAAAACACCTGTTGACTCCATGATTTCCCCCGCATCCGGAACATTCATGTTTAAATCTACACGATGCCCCCCATTTGCACTGCCCTTCATTGAACAGCCAACAGAACCCCTTCTTCTGTCCGGCCGGTACAGCGCTTCCCGTGGCCGTACCGGCCATCCCTTGAAAGGGCGCATTTTTCTGGGCCATCATTATTCTCATCCATAAAGGCAGGTCCATCTGATCCCACCTCATACTCGGATTCGCTGCCAACTGTTGGCGGAATTGTTCGTCGTACCCTCACCATGCTAATCCCCCATAAGTCCTGTAAGCGTCCCCTATCCCGTCCAAATAACAAAACAGCTGCGAACATCGTTCTGGGTGCTTTTCCCCGACTACGCTCGCCAAAATACAGAAGGCTCTGAGCCAATTCCCAAAAGTCTTGGGTATCTTCCGATACCGCCGCTTTTTCTCCTCTTCTTCTTTTTTAGCGTCCTTCTTATCCTCTTCCTTCAAGTCGAGAAATTCCTCGAGTGGAAGTAAGGAGAAGATTTCCATAAATTCCCCCTTCCCAATTTTTTCTTTTACCTCCGCTTTCAGGTGACATCCTAGTGGTCCCGCGAAGGACACATGCACGTTTTGCCGTGCCACGTCCGCTATCTCACCACCCCCGACCACCTGTTGGCCAGACCCGACTGCCTTTCCGGTTCCCGACTCACCGTCCCCCGTTTCGATGGCACCCGACTTGTGTGTCACCATCCTCTCCGCCCCTTGTTCTTTATCTCCCCCGTCCTCTGGCGACCATACCCTACCAAACTGCGGGGTTGACCCCTCATCTCCCGCCCAGGAGTTAATGAAAGATTTTAAGCAACCCAATAAGGACCCAGTGTGTGGTGTACTTCGTGACTCACTGCCAGTGCCCCCGACCGTGGCCGGCCGCAGGGTTGATGTCCTTCCGTCCGCCATTTCAGGCTCCGGAGACTCCTGTTGCCGCCGACTCCTTTCCGCCTGGCCTCTCCTCGGGACCGTAGGTGTCACGCTCCTCGACCTGCCGGGAAAATATAACCTGGGTAGTCTGTCCACGTGTTGTCCTACCCGCCTTTCCTCCCGGCGTTCCTTCCTCCTGTCACTATCGCTACGCTGTCTCGCTGCCTGACCGTCCCGGCCGTAAGACCTCCTCTGCAGGTCCTTTAAACTCCCGCCCGATGAACTGGAAGCACTGCGCCTACATCTTAGCCTCCGTTCCCTGGTGCATGACCTCTGCCTGCTCCGGTGGCTCCTGGACTGGCTCCTGTCCCTGCTCCTCCCCTGCTCTGCTGACCTCCTCTGGGTGCTGCTCCTTTCCCCTTCACTGCGCCGCTCGCTACTCACTCCTCGCCTCCTGGTCCAGCTCCTGTCCTGCTGCGCCTGAGAGCGGCCCATAGGGGGCTCCCGCTCGCCTCTGACCCCTCTGCATGTCTCCTTCCTCCTCAGCCCCTGCGGCTCCTCCATGTCCCTGCAACCTCCTGTCGCTGACCTGCCGTCTCCTCTCCTCTCATCCCGGCAACTTCCTGAGGGCAGGGATTCACCCCCCCTCGCAATTCCCGTCTGCCCGGAGACGCTGCTGCCCCTGTCACCGCTACCTGTCCTGGACCTACTCCCTGTGAGGGTTAAGCCCGTCCCTGACCTGCCATCTGCCTCTCCACCTGTCACCTGAGGGGGCGCTGGCGTCGAGCTGTCCTCAAGCACCCCATCCTCCTGCCCCTCAGTATCGCCACTAGGGGCGGACTCACCGGGGCGCTGAAGTTCCGGACCATCACGGCCCTGCTGCCTGGCTGCCATCCCAGCTGTACAGGATCCGTGTCCTTCTCCCTCCGGCGGGCTTCCGACTAGCGCCCGCCCGGCGCACTCCGACTCTTGAGGCCTGTCCTTCCGCCTGGGCCGCCTTTTCCCCACTTTGCGGCGCCGCTGGCGGTGCTCCCGGGCTGAGTCGTTGGGGCGGACGTGCCCTCCTGGTCGGCCTCCTCTCCGACACCGCAGTGGGGGGAGCAGATGTGCTCGGGACCCCTATTTGATCCTGCAGCCACGCCATCCCCTTCTCTTCCACCATTCTTCTCACACCGGCCAAGATTTCTTCGGCAGAAGCCATCCCTGCAAGAAAAAGAACAGACCACACAAACCTGACAAGTATCAAGTAAGTGTGATTTTGATTAAAAAGGCCAGTTCACCAAATTGGCTGTTATTTAAACCCTTATTCTCCTCCCCCCCCTGTCCAGACATTACTTTTCCACACCCCTTGACCTGAACTTCACCTGCCAACTCTCTGGCCCTGTCAAGGCCCACTCCCCTCCTGTGTTGCTCCATGGGCTTCAAAACAGGAGGGGGAGGGGGAGCAGTAAAACTTCTCACTAGGAGATGGGGTAATATGCTGCCATTGGCTGTCTGATGCCAGCATGCAGTGTTCTGCATGCTGGCATCTGATTACACATTTGCATATAATTCACATTAGCCACCCAGATTTCTTGTTGTGGGCTGGCTGACACCTCTTAATTTCAATCTTTGTTTAGCAGATAACTCCTCTATTTGCTATCCTTTGTGGGATTGCCATATTTAAGGACACCAAATAAGTTGCTATCTGCTAAACAGCACCCTCATTTGGTATCTTTAAATATGGAAATCTCACATACGGACACCAATTCAGGGAATGATCTACTAAACAGCTTAAGGATAAAAAAAGCCCTTTTCTTATTTTCAGTTGTTTAGTAGATAAATCCCTTATTTGTTATCCTTATGTGGGATTGCAATATTTAAGGACAGGAAATAAGGGAGCTATCTACTAAACACATCCGCAGAGATACACACAATCACACACATAATCACAGAAATACACAAACACAATCACTGACCCACACACATACAATCGCAGACACACAATCACATACACACACAAACATTACATACATACACACATTTAATAATTAAGAGGTCCACCTAGCCTCCCTACCTTGCTCTAGAAGGGCTGGAGTGGATCCTCAGTCCCTGGTGGTCAGTGGTTGCTGCTGGGATCTCTGTGCTCTTTCTGCACAGGCCCATCGCACGCCCTGTAATGACGCAGAGACCGCGATTACATCATATCCTGGCTGCCGGCTCACTGCAGGGCAAAGACCGTCAAACACAGTCCCACACAGTCACTCACACACAGTTACAGGCAGAAAGTCAAAAACGGAGCCAATCACACAGGCAGATAGTCACACATACACACACAGATTCACAGACAGTCATACACACAATCACAGGCAGACAGTCACACATACACACAACACAGTCACAGACAGTCACACACACACACACACACACACACCCACAATCACAGGTAGACAGTCACACACACAGAGTCACACAGACAATCACAGGCAGACAGTCACACACACACAGTGATACACACACACACACACACAGTCACAGACAGTGACACACACAATCACAGGCAGACAGTCACACAGGCAGACAGTCACACATACACACAACACAATCACAGACAGTCACACACACACACACAATCAGAGGCAGACAGTCACACACACACACAATCAGACAGTCACACACACACACACACACACACAGTCAGAGACAGTCACTCACACACCCTCAATCACAGTCAGACAGTCACGCACACACACACTGGCAGACAATCACACACACAGTCACACAGACAATCACAAGCAGACAATCACACACACAGTCACACAGACAATCACAGGCAGACAATCACAAACACAGTCAAAGACAGTCACAATCACAGTTACACACTCACACACACAGTCAAAGACAGTCACACACACAGTCAAAGACAGTCACAATCATAGTTACACACAGCACACACTCTCTCTCACTTACAGTCAGCTTGGGCTGGAGGAGGAGTGGATTCAGTCCCTCCTATGCTGTAGTTGGGGAAGCAGGCTCTCCTTCCTGCTTCCCCTCTGTGTGAGCAGTATGAGGCTGCAATTAGCCCCGCCCCCACATCTGGCTTGTCTCCGCCCCATGGCCGATCTGGCTCCGCCCCCAAATCTCCGTGCAGCCAGGTCTCCTGCTCCTGCTCCCAGCCCCTGCGTGTGAGCTGTGTCGGCTGCCCAGCGCCCCTGCTGCTATGGCACCCGGTGCAGCCACACAGCTCACTGAACTCCAAGCCTGGCCAGCTCTGGTGGCACCCCCCTACCTGATGGCACCCGGGGCGGACCGCCACTGAAAGGAGGCAACGTTTGCATCCAGTTCCCTTAGATAGTTGATGTTCAGTTTGTGTAGGCATCATCTCGCTTCAGTGATGTCTGCAACAATATGTCAAATCAGACCGTATAATAAGTAGTTATGTCTGGTTACGGTTTGTTGTTTAGTAACATGTGAATAGGTAAGACAGAGTGTCCATCAATATGGTAGAGTTCTAACTTTGTATGTTGTACGCTTCAACTTTGGAAAGTGGTGGACTCGACTTGGTGTATCTAAACAAAAGTTAAAAAAAAAACTTGATTAACTGAGTGCTGGTCCGTTCCCCTCTACCCCCCAACCTAGTCAAGTATGCTTCTGTTTTTTTGATTTTTTTTTTTTTTTTATCTACATACAATAGCATTAGGATATTTGCATTATCTTGCCAGGTCATCATGACATCAGCCAACAGGCACGATAAACATGATGAGTAATGAAGAAAGAACAAGGACTTAAGCAGCAGAGGCCAAACAGCCTTGTAACTGGTACATAGATTGCCTTTACAAAGAAGTTGCATAAGGAAATTGGAGTGATACTAAAAAACCTCCAGTTATTTAAATGTGGACACATTTTCAAAATAACACATTTTTAAATGTTCAGTATAGTAAAAAATAAAGAAGGACTTTTTTGTTTCTGTGTTTGTCTATAATGTTTGCAAGTTTACAATTTTAATTATAAAGTGATTTTTTTAAACTGCAATGAACGAGCTTTCCATGTGATGGCTGTTCAACAGTGTCCTGTTGCTTCTATGTTCCTTTGAGCCATCAGGTTTTAAAGAAACAGATGTGCGCCAATTAATTTAATTTGTGTATGAAGTTAAATATTGACATAGTTAACAATATCAAAGTAAAATTTATGAAACATTTCTATTTCTTTTATTGTCTTAGAAATTATTTTCCATACCATCTATTTTGTTCTCCCCCTTCACTATACCACTCGTGTATACACAATTCTGAAGGTATGTTTTTATACTCCAGAGTTTTGTAAATGCAATTTAACTAAACAAGTTCCATTTGCAATTGGTGACCTTCCATTGTGGCCAGTCTGCCCCTGTGCCAGACCTCCCACGTCAGGCATCCTCTGGACTCACTTCTCACACATACATTCACCTTCAAACACACACAGTCACCCCCCACACAACCCCATCATTCACATTCATACACACTCAGTCCACCCCACAAAGACGTTTACCCTCACACACACAGTTCTCACACACAGACAGTCACTCCATACACATAGTCACCCCCTCATACCAGTGGCGGATCCAGAAGCTAATCTCGGGAGGGGCATTGGCAGATGATTTTAAGAAACAATCCAGGCACAATAACCACTAAAGCTCTCTGTAGTGGTTTTGGTGCCAGGATTTGCTGTGGTGCCCTCCCAGAGTAAGTAGTCAAACCGTTTAAAAAAAGTTTGATAACTTACCCAGGGTCTGCTGGGATAGGGGCTGTAGTGTGTGTGTGTGTGTGTGTGTGGTGCAGTGTGTGTGAGGGACACAGTATGTGTATGGAGGGGTAGTGCGTGTGTGAGAGGGGTGCAGTGTATGTATGGGGTAGCAATTTGTATATTGGGAGCAGTGTGTTTGTGTGTAAGTGGCACTGTGTGTGTGTATGGGGGGGCTGTGTGTGTATTGGGGCTATTTGTTTAAGAGGGGCAGTGTGTGTATTGGGGGCTGTGTGTATAAGGGAGCAGTGTGTGTATTGGGGCTATGTGTGTTTATGGGGGGGCAGTGTGTGTAAGGGGGGCTGGGTGTGTAAGGGGAGTCAATGTGTGTGGGGGGCTGTGTGTGTAAGGGGGCTGTGTGTGTGAAGGGGGAGCTGTGTGTCTAAGGGGGACTGTATATTTGTGTGTGGTGCAGTGTGTAGGGGGTTATAGTTTGTGAGGGGATAGGGGGGCTGTGTGTGTAAGGGGGGGTTGTGTGTGTAAGGAGGGCTGTATATGTAAGGGGAGGCTGTGTGTGTATAAGGAGGGCTGTGTATGTAAGGGGGGCTGTGTATGTAGGGGGGGCTGTGTGTGTGTAAGGAGGGCTGTGTGTGTAAGGGGGGGCTATGTGTGTGTAAGGGGGGTTGTATATTTGTGTGTGGTGCAGTGTGTAGGGGGTATAGTTTGTGTGAGGGGATAGGGGACTGTGTGTGTAAGGGGGGCTGTGTGTGGTGCAGTGTGTGAGTGGATAGGGGGGCAGATTAAAGATTAAATAGTTAAATAAATATAGCTAATGTCCCCCCTATCTTCTTACCTTTGCTGAGGGAGGGGGAGACATTGCTTTCTTTCCAGTCCCTGGGGATTCTAGTGCGGGAGTGAACTCTAACCTGCAGCTCAGGCTAGAGTTCACTCTCGCGAGAACGGAGCGTTGCCATGGTAACCGCGGCAAGGCCTCACGTTCTCTCTCTCACTCCCCTGCTGGCTGCCAGTAATGTGCCTGTGGGCTGGGAAGGGATATCACTGATCTCCACTCCGGTCCGTGATGGCAAACAGCAGGGCTGGTGCTTGGATAGCACCAGCCCTGCATGGGCCGGCAGGGGAGAGCCTCGGCCAGCAATATTTTCTCATGGGGGGCAATTGCCCCTTTGCCCCCCCTGGATCTGCCAATGCCTCATACACACATTCACCCCTATACACACAGTCACCCCCACTGATGCACACAGTTACCATTATACTCGTAAAGTCACAGCTTTGCCATGAACAGGGCGAACAGATTTAAAAAAAAATTTAAATTAACAGGACACCCATTAGCCTTACAAAAATCGCTACACAAAAAATACATACACACTAGAAGTCTTTAACCTATTCCTGGCCAGTAGTGAATGTTAAAGCTCATCTCCTTCCTGGTTCTCAAATGAGTGTCTTTTCATTTACATTTTGTAGGAGCATGATCAGAGCCCACACATAGCCTAGACCAGGGTCATATTAACAGCATAATAGGCACCAGGTAAAGCAATGCACTGGGGACCTGCCTGCACAACCACACACAGAGACTGCTGAATATACACACACACAGACTGCTAAAAACATACACACACATCGCTGAATATACACACACAGAGAGACTGCTAAACATACACACAGACTGCTGTATACGTACAGACTGCTGATTACACACAC